ACTGCACTCTCTGCACGCTCTCGCGACTATACTTGGACTCCCGCACGCACTTTTTCTCGCGCTCGTCTCGCGGCCGCTCAGCGGCGCTCGCTCTTCTCCCTACCTTGACCTATTAGTTAGGCGGCACGCGACGCGTCGCCTATCCCTGCATAGGCATAATGCTCTCTCTCTCTCTCTCTTTTTCTCACTCTCTCCGTGCTCCTTAACGTATTCCTGCGCTCAGCTCCGCTGGCCCCTCCTCGGCGCTAAAACAAAAAGGCCAAGTATTAGGCGCATACTTTAATGCGCCCAACGTTGGCCACCACGCCTTGCCGAGTGGAGAAGGAGAGAGAAACGCAGACGAGAAACCGGCATACGGTCTGCTCTCGTCACAAGCGGAATTTTATTTATTTGAAATACATAGATATGATTAATTATTAATAAACACACTATCATGACCTGTGATCTATCAAAAACGAGATATTTACGTCGCGTTCTTTGTCCGGTACAGCGATAACGTATATTACGGAGTAATTCTGTCTACAATTGTATTGCATGGATTTCTCTTCTGTGTATTTAGTAAAAGCTTCTACTCACAGATATGTGACTTATTTGAAAGACGCAATAAAGCTCTGTACATATTTAAATGTTTCGCTCGATACTCTTACTGATGTTGTTGTTTATCTCATCCTTGCCTACAATATGAATATGAAATTGAATTATCCTTGCACATTTCGTATATTCACGCATATTTTTCACCATTGAAATCTTTTCAACATGCGCTGAAATACAGTAAAGAATAAAACATTTTTAAATCAGTGTTATACAAGAAAACAAACTACTTGGAAACTGATTTTAACTTGGCATTAAAAAGATTAAATTATTGTATTGGAGTAGAAGATTGTTCGTTTAGAATCAATTCTATTCCATTTATTAATAAGCATAATATCAAATAGAAATCGTTCCATATAAAAGATTCCGTAAGCCCAAATAAAAATTTAAATTGTTAATGTCAAAATAATATGAGTTCCAAGTAATTCCCTTGTTTGAATAACACTGATTCCAGATCGTTTTCGATACTCTACTTTACATCAATATATAATAAAAAAATTTCTTGGTGAACGAAACAAACAATTAGATATATTACATTGCATTGAAAAATATGTACACATCTTCGAGATTTCCATATTTATTGACCTAGTGGTTACCTTTCCTAAAAAAATATGCAAAGTGGACGGGGGAAGGATTAAAATACACCCCTCGCAAAAATTAAGGGTATAAAAAAATTTGTCAAATGTTTGGCTGATTTTTAACAGGTGGTATTTCAGTGAGAAATGGTCGTACAGTAAATAAAAAAATAAAGCTATTGAAGCATGAAGACTCTAGTTTTTAGTTTTTTTGTTTAAAAATTTTTTGGAGCTCCGTATTTCATGCAATCCTTATACAAAGCGCAAAAAAAATTTTATCCAAATTTTTTACATTTTGTTTCTTACTCTACGGGCACGGAAAAATTTGTTCGAGCTACGCCAATACATAGGTCATTTAACCTGTTTATTCAGCTTCACGCTGCTTTTCGCGGAGCTCAATTACGATCATTTGTCTCCGAGATATCGAACTTTGAATGCAACAGGATCCTTTTGCATTTAAAATTCGATATCTCTGGAACTACTGGTCGCACAGCGAGCGGACACCGAATTTCATCATCTGCATAAAATTTCCGATGAAATATAGTCAAATGTTGGTAAAGAGAAAAATTTTTTTCTATCTCTAACATTGAATTGAAAAAAGTGAAAAAAAGTGACATTTTCCCCTTTTTTGGTTACTTGACTGTATCTTCAGTAATATGGGCGGAAAAGGTACGGTTAAAGAGAAATTTTACAGTCTAATGTCCCCCAAAGAATCCCCTAAATTTTTGGAGCGATTGGTTCAGCGGTTTTTCCGGACCAATTGATCAAAGTTTATAAAAAATTAAAGGAGCAAGGTTTTTGTTCCTTAACTTGAAGCAAACTTTTTAAAAATCAAAAAATTCAATTTTTTTTCGTCTGTTTACACGATTTTGTGTCTGTTTACGATTAATTTTGAAAAAAATCGAAAAAAAAAACATTTTTTTTCAAAAATCAAAAAAACATTTTTCAAAAATAAAAAAAAAATTTTTTCCACTAACTATAAAATATTGTTCTCTAGCGATTGATGACCGATTTACTGCCGGCATTAGCGTTATCCAAAGCATACCACGTGGAGGTTGCTCGGTCGGATTTATGCTTCTTTTGTGCTCACGCACGTGTGCGAGTGATTTTTGGAAGGAAGAGACTCCGTGGCTCGTCAGCTCCACAGTATTTTACGACTCCAAACTCACTTTCCAAAGTGTGTGTGTGTGTGTGTGTGCGTGTGTGTGTGTGTGTGTGTTTAGTATCGAGTATTTCCGCCTCTGCTCTGAATCACAGCTTGCAATCGCTGCCACATATTGGAAATGCAATTGCGGATCATCCGCTGAGGAATCTGACGCCAAACTCTTATCAAAGCAATCTCTAATTTAGCTAAATTTTGGAGGTTTGGGTAACTCTGACGAAATCGGCGGCCCAATATGTCCCAGACATGCTCAATTGGATTGAGATCAGGACTCATTGCAGGATGCTTTAACAACTGAATGTCGTTTCTCTCGAAGAATCGACGAGTGAAGTTTGCCGTATGAGGTCTTGCGTTATCCTGCATAAGAATGAATCTTCTCGCGTTTCTCCATATTGGTAACACATGAGGTCTCAGAATCTGGTCGATATAACGCCTGGCATTGAGGTTATCTCGAACAATAACCAAAGGAGTTCGAGATCCTCGTGAAATTCCCGCCCAAAACATTACTGATCCTCCATTGTAAGCGGCTACTGAACGCATCAAGCGTTGTGCATAATGTTCTCCTGTACGGTGCCAAACTCGAGGTCTTCTGTCGTTACCATACAGACAAAATTGAGATTCATCTGAGAAAAGAACATTGTTCCAGTTTCTCATGGGCCAGTTCATATGGTTACGAGCATACTGCAAACGAGCTCTACGATGTGCAGCGGTCAACATCGGCTCACGAGCAGCATTTCGAGCACGCAATCCAGCTTCGTGAAGGCGATTCCTTACTGTTGTTCGAGAAATGTTTCGAGGCGGTCTTTGTTTTTGTTGTAGTAGTCGTTGTTGTTGTTGTTGTTGTTGTTATCGTTGATGTTGTTGTCGTTGTCGTTGTTGTTGTTGTTGTTATCGTTGATGTCGTTGTCGTTGATGTTGACGGTTGGGGAAGTTTTGGGCGATGATGTTTGCTGGAGCAAAAGGTTCTTGAAGGGCGTGTCGAATGATCGTCTAGGCGAGTCGTCTCTCGATGTCGGCCTTGTCCAGGACGTCGCTCGAATCGATTTGTTTCCAGGTATCGGTTGTAGGCACGAGACACTACTGAGGGACTAACACCTAGTCGTTCATCCACCTGCCGATACCTATACCCCTCCTGAACAAGAGTTACTAGCTGAGCGACTTCTGGGGCAGATAAATGCAGCCTCGGAGGCATTATGAATAAAATTAATGTTTACGAGAATCAAGCAGCTATCAAAAAGTTCTTTAGAATTTACGAAAAGAAAAGTATAATTTTGAAAAAAACTGTTGAGTGGTTTTTTACTAAAAAGTCGAAGAGTTTAGAAAAAAACTGTTTTTTTTTTATAACGTTTTGGCTTCACAGAAGACGTTAAAAACTTATCGCGCGGAATTTCACAGACCGAGTAATGGATACGCCTTAGGGGTATCAACTTCGATTTTTTTCAAATCAATTTTTTTTAAGCGTAATTGAGGCTTGAATTTATCCATGACCTAAATGAATCAAAATGAGTGACTAATTGATTATTAATTTTTTTTCAGTAAAGAAATTGAAAATGTTATTTTTTTTTCAATTAAAAAAATAATTTTTTTTTCAAGGGTACATCAGTCATCAATCACGATGACTAAAGAACCATATTTTATAGTCAGTGGAAAAATTGAAGAAAAATTTTTTTTTTGATTTTTGAAAAAAAATGTTTTTGTTTTCCATTTTTTTCGAAATTCATCGTAAACAGACATAAAATTGTGTAAACAGACGAAAAAAAAATGGAATTTTTTGATTTTTAAAAAGTTTGCTTCAAGTTAAGGAACAAAAACCTTGTTGGTCAATTGGTTCGAAAAAACCGCTGAACCGATCGCTCCAAAAATTTAGGGGGTTCTTTGGGGAATATTAGACTGTAAAATTTCTCTTTAACCGTAACTTTTCCGCTCATACTACTGAAGATACAGTCAAGTAACCAAAAGAGGGGAATATGTCACTTTTTTTCACTTTTTTCAATTCAATGTTTGAGATGGAAAAAAATTTTTCTCTTTACCAACGTTTGACTATATTTCATCGGAAATTTTATGCAGATGATGAAATTCGGTGTTCGCTCGCTGTGCGACCAGTAGTTCCAGAGATATCGAATTTTGAATACAAAAGGATCCTGTTGCATTCAAAGTTCGATATCTCGGAGACAAATGATCGTAATTAAGCTCCGCGAAAAGCAGCGTGAAGCTGAATAAACAGTTTAAAAGACCTATGTATTGGCGTAGCTCGAACAAATTTTTCCATGCCCGTAGAGTAAGAAACAAAATGTAAAAAATTTGGATAAATTGTTTTTGCGCTTTGTATAAGGATTGCATGAAATACGGAGCTCCAAAAAATTTTTAAACAAAAAAACTAAAAACTAGAGTCTTCTAGCTTCAACAGCTTTATTTTTTTATTTACTGTACGACCATTTCTCACTGAAATACCACCTGTTGAAAATCAGCCAAAAATTTGACTAATTTTTTTATTCCCTTAATTTTTGCGAGGAGTGTATAAGATTTCACAATTTCCAATAAAAACTTTACTATAATACTCGTATCTTCGATTATCAAAATGTATTGACAGGAAGTGTCATTTTTAACTTAGCATTTGATTTCACATATGATTTTATTGTTTGGCACAAACTAAAATTCTATTTTTCTTACAGAAAACACTATGCTCTCAACAAACCTGTTTGGGAAGCGTCATGTCATCATTGGGGCATGGAAATGAAGTAAGAAAATCAGAAGAAATATTAAAATATGCAAAAGATTTTCTTCAACAATATTTTTCGACCATAAAGAGGTACGTATCGTGATGATAGGCTGATAATTCTTGTATTGTTGCTGCCCGATTATTAATAAGGAAATCAGTTGTACGAAATAAAGAAAAACAGTGATACTTTATAGACTGATTATATTTATTGATTCTATGAAACATACATAGAATGTTATACACTATTTACAAAGCGAGAACCTAGGATCAAACCCCCCAGAGTCATATGAAGGTTATAATTGAGGTGCAATGTCAAGTACATATATGATAATAAAATTTTCTGCTCTCTTTCATTTCTAAAATAAAAAATAGCGGTTTCCATTTCAAAAAATGTTGACCTTGAATCGATTTTAAATAATGACCTTGTGGCCAATATTAAGTCTGCTATTATTTTTTTGAACCAAACCTAGTAACGGAGAATCTCGGCTAGGCCGATTTCGTTCGTTTGGCTCTCGCAAAGGTCCGCGCGCCGCGTCAACCGGAGACTTTGTGCGTGTGGCACGCACACTTATGCGTGGATTTTTGTTTTGAGGTGCTGTGTACGGGCTGAGCTGATGGCTGGAGCGATCGAGATGGCGTAGAAGAAGAAGAAGAGAGAGAGAGAGAGAGAGCGCGCGCTCTAGTTGCGGATCACCGCTGAAAATTTAAGAGTATCTGCTGGGCTTAAGCAAAGAAAAGGTCACGCGCGCGGATTTAACCGAAGTTAATAGTTTTTCGGAGTTGGTCCCGTGACTTCGTCAACGTTTTCGTTTTCGGAAACAGGCCTGGTGCGCGGACGAGTATTAGAGCGTGAGGCTGGGTCGCGTCCAGCCGTGTTCCGAAGGATACCCGACACCGGTGCTGTGGGTAACCGGCGAGGTGCATAGGTGCGCGCGCGAGTTGTTTTGACGTGCTACAGTACCGAGCAACGGAGAGGTGACGAAAACAACCACAACAGCAATTAGCGAGCGAAACAACGGATAGAGGCAGCAGTATTGTGGAGCAAGCGAGAGACCGAGCAAGAGGACAAATAACGACAACAAACATCAGTGAGACGGTCAGCGCGGAGCACACCAGTAACGTCACACTGCGGAGCGCTCTAGCCGTCAGAGAGGCTGAAGGTCGAGGTCGGTGCAGTGTTTTTCTCTTGAATCTCTCTCTCTCTCTCTTTCTCTCTTGCATGTTTGGGCGCCAGCTTATGGGTGGTAGCACGGCAGAACTGCTGGTTACCTCGTTGATAGTTTAACGGCGAAAAGTATTTTGTCGGGCATTGATTGTAATATTTTGTTTTCACAAGGGAATCGGCAGGCTGACCAGCCACCGATTTACCTTCGCGTTCACGTTTGTTATTGTGCCGCTCGTAGTGTATAAGCGCGAGATCGCCGTCTTGTATCCTATTATTGATAATTAAAGGATTAGTGTGTTTATCCGCTGTTGTGTTTATTCGCCGCTGTATCACTCCTCATCCCGATTTCGAATCTGTGCGTTTAACTTGTTTATGCTCGACGCGTTATTCAGTCGAGGGAACGTCTTTTGTTTCCCGAATCCCCGAATAAATAATTCGTGGACGGCCGCGAGTAACCCAGCCGGCAACGGTCGCTAATTCTCCGTTACAACTTTTTTTTTTACGACATAGAAACGTTAGACGTGTTTTATGTGCTCAGCGATTTTCTGCTGTCGAAAACAATGGATCAAAGAGCTTGCATGAAATTTTTTGTAAAAAATGGAATTAAGTGCTCCAAAACACTTGAAATGTTGACAGTGGCATACGGTGACTCTACTTTTAACCCATTAAGGCCCATGCCAAAACAGCATGAGACAGCGTTAAACTAACTATGTGATTCATAGCATAAGTGAAAAAAAAGTACCTTTGTTTTGTCTTTTGCCATTTGCAATAGTTTATAAAAAATTATTTAAACAAATTACCATAAATATAATATTTTTAAAAACTGATTGCGGCAATCGATTCTACGGGAAAAAATATGACAAAAAAATATATAACGTTTTCTTGTCAAACTTTAAATTGTTAGTGTAAAAGTGCAATAAACAATTGCAGATCGGACAGGCTCACCTGTATACGCCAAATCCGAAGCAAAATCAATGGCCTATACCGTCAACCTATCTATGCCGTCCATAGCATATATGAAAAAAAATTACCTATATTTTTCATTTTGCCATTTCCAATTGTTTATATAAAATTATTTAAAGAAATTACCAAAAAAGTTAAAATATTCATTCAGTTTCTTTCACGTGTTCATCTTGATGTTTTCTCCACAGAGGTATAGAACATTTTTGGCAAAAAAATTCAGTTCTTGTTACACACGATGCTGATGAACATTTCTTGTACAGACCTTGTATCATATTGTGTGCATTGGATGATAGTTCACTGGACTTCTTTCGCTTGTTAGAACGTTTACTCGTAAACTTCTGGAGAGAGTATTCGCAAACCTCTTCCACAATTTACATAGAACCTTTTGGCAAGTCCGGATGGAGATGATATCTATAAATTTTGATCCAATCGTTAGCTCACCACTCAAACGTGATCTCTAGCACCGTTTTCACACCTTTATAATAAAATAAAAATTTTTTCAAATCATCCACTCAACGATTAGGTTGTAGTACTCGTATATTCATAACCACCGATATCAAACTTTCGGATGGATAGACTTTATAGTCATTTCCTAGCGTCAATTTTAAGTCTGACCAGAAAACGTTATATACGAGTACGTTTTTGTCATATTTTTTTTCGTAGAATCGATTGCCACAATCAGTCTTTGAAAATATTAACTTTTTTGGTAATTTGATAAAATGATTTTTTATAAACAATTGCAAATGGCAAAAGAAAAAACACGGATAATTTTTTTTTCACTTATGCTATGAATGGCATAGTTAGATTTACGGTATAGACTATTGATTTTGCTTGGGATATAGCGTATACAGGTGTGAAGTCGGTTGACGAGATATTTCTCAGGCGCACTTTGTGGTCTATCCTTTCGGACAATAACCGGGACGTACGTTGCCACTCTCGTGGGAAATTCTCTTTTTGGCGACGGAGGATTGAAGCTTTACTATACCACACGCTTGGCAATATAGTTATGCTTCGCGTTATTTTACCACACTCTTGGCTATAAAATAACGTAAGAGGGAGCCTATCTAATATGCACTCGACCACACGCTTGGCAAGCGAGTATAACTAACTAAAATAAAAAAAAGGTCGTACGCGAAACTAGGAAAGAAAAAAATGAGGAAAGAAATGAACCGAAAATTATCAAAAAATTAAATGAAAGAAATTAGAGTTTTGATTGTTTTATTTAAATTCGTTTACTTACTTTTGTACTTATTTTTCCACACACACGGAGGTACTTTTTATAAAATACTGAACTGAACGAACTGAACGAACTGAAAAAAAACTGTCTAATTTTCTTCAAGAGCTTCCTTTTATACTTTTCGCAAGAGACTCCCACTCTAAATTCCTTGTCATTTTTTGGAAGGAAGAACTCAAATTTTCCTGATTCAATTAGTTGAAAAATTTGGGCACTGTCTTAAGCGTGAGCGAAATTCGATCCCTAATTGCTGGGAGGCGGAGTGTGCGGGAATGGCCTCATTTAAGTGTTTTGGGCCCTCTTCATACAGATGGCCCTCTATGTACTGTCACGTCAATACAAAGAATAAGTACGTGACGAATTATGATAAGTAAATAACGGGTTATGGTAACAAACCGGGTATCGGTAATTTAATTTTCTATTATATCAACCCTCCCGGGAACATTTGTAAATCTATCTAGCGGGATAGATTAGTCTAAGCACGTCTCCATAATATTTCCGTGAATATTACTCACCGCATATTAGTTCGGCAAAAACACAGGAAGGGGCACATCAGCCTACGGTGTAAAAAGGCTGGATCGGGATCCGCAAAACACAGTACAGTTGAGCAGTTTGGCAGTTCAGAGCAATTCAGTTCACACAGCATACGTTTCGCGCAGTACTAATTGAGTTATTTTTTAAGTCTAACTATCCGGCTACTCAGAACCGGAATTATACTCTGCTAAGCATTATAAAAATTGTCTTTAAACAATCAATCGTAAATCAAGTGCAAACACTGGAGACTGTTCTTAAAAACCTTTTCTGAAATCCAATCCTAATAAGGTAAGAAACTAAGTTATCTACTAAAAACGCGCTACATATAATAAAGGCGCTATCCCTTTAACCAATCTCTGCTTAACTCCTGACTAAGATCCAACTTTTACCAACGCAACAGTATTTGTATACATTATTACGTCTAGCAGTAACATCTCCTCGCCTAGACATAACAGTACTATTTTCATCTTTAATTATTTAAATTAATTTTATCTAAATGCAATTGTGTGTGTGATACTCTAATTCTACTAATACAAAAATATTATTTAATCTATAATAAAACTAAAGTATAGAAAAAAAGTTAAGGATTATATTTATCTGATAACAAACAAGATTTCAATAGTTTTAATTATTAATTTGTAACGGTCCTATTTATGAGCTATTTATTAAATCACTGAATTACTGCAACTAGTCTAACGTATCTATCTGTTTATTCAAATCAATACATTAAGCGACGCTACCTCACTGTTTACGCGATTGTATACAAATAAGAGTCGAATCAATATAAACAGCGTGACGTCACAAAGTAATATACATAGACATAATGATTTTGGATATTAAGAAAAATATGTTAATTAGAGATAATTTTAATATAACAAAGTATTGATTATATAGATTTTAGCATGTAGATTCATAATATTATAACAAAAATTACAATCAATTATAAAATAATAATGAATATCAATAAGCAAAGTTGATTTATTTATTACGTTAACATATGAAATATTAGAAAAATGTAAATAATTCATATGCAAAGTGAATAAGCATAGAACATGAGTAAGAATAGGTTTAATTAATAACAGCTGAATAATAACTGTTATTAGTAAATAAACAATTAACAATTTATTTAAACAATAAGCTATATATAGAACGAAAATATTAAGTTTATACTTGATAATGATAACTTTATGATTT